TATTTGTCAAATAAATTATTAATTAAATGAAAACAGCACAGAGTTGCATGCTGTTCAGAGTCAAACTTTAAAGCTTAGGAAGGTGAAATCTTGTCTGAGGAGTTAGCAGAAGCGTGAGTTATTAATTCAGAAGGAATTTTAAGATGTTCACTCTTTGGGTCCAAATTTAATGGTAGCTAAAAATGATGACTGTGTGGGTCATGATGTAAGATATGGATTAACTCTGAAATGATCTTTCACCTGTACTTGGGAAGAGATGCCATGAACTCTACTATTCCAGATGCTCTCTATGTAAAGGAAGAAGGCATAAGAAACTCATAGTGTCTATACTTAGTTAATTTGACTCATTCCTAAACAAAAAGCTCCAAAGGATTAAGAATACAAGATAGGGCCTTTTCCTCTTTTTATGCTCCATAAGAACATTAGACTGCATGTCAAATATGAATGCATCAATACCAAAACTTAATAAAGTGCTCATTTACTTAACGCGAGGGGAGTCATACCCAGCAACAAGCCTCCTACAAGTCAGACAGAGCCCTGACTGTCAAGTGTTCTTCTCCTGGGCGAGGCAGAGTGCAGGGGTCCCCAGACCTCACACCTTCATTTTAGGCTATGGATTCCTGCTTTACCCTATTCCCAAGTCAAAATTCTGAACAGAGAGAGAGTGGAAGGGAGGGAGAGAGAGAGATCAATGCCCAAATTCAGAAATTTAAAGCTCTTAAGCAGTATAAATTCATCAACTGACGTTCTGTAAACATATTCCTTTCTCAGTAAAATTATTGTAAAATAACAGTGCTCCAGTCAATGGCTATCACCAGAAAATGTCACGAAGTTTGAAACACTTGGCTTCTCTGTAATCAGCCAACTTCATTATGCTTCCTGCTTAATAATTATAGATCTTATTAACAGAGATGGATTTAATAACATAAAACTAATAGGCATTACAAATTGCATGCTCTCTGAAGAGACTGGAGATTTGTGTCATTTCATGTACCAATATGAAAACATGACTGTTGAACCCATGCACTAGAGTTCTCTAAATATAGTGAAATGATGCAATTTAATAGCAATGTAAGCTACACAAATCCTTTCTGAGAAAACGCCATTTTATCCCTGCCTCGAGGAGCTGGAAGTGGTATATCAGAGTGTGCCATTAGATTTCTTTCTCCCGGCACACGAGTCAGTTCGTGTATAACCAATATACAGATATGCCACCACCTTGGAATTTTTTAAAATAATCTTTTTGGTTTTCACTATGATGGTAATAGTGCTCATTGTAGAAAATTTGGAAAATGGAGAAAAGTATAAAGAAGAAAATAAAAATCACTTACAATCCCACAATCTAAAATTACCACTTGTTAGTATTTTGGCTTATGTTATTCCAATATTTGTATAAATATATATTTGGCATAGTTGAGATAATTTGTACCACTCATAAACTGCTTTTTTCCATTTAATAAAACCTTGTGAACATTTTTCTCTTTTCCTAAAAATCCTGGTAAATGTACTTTTAATGGGTTTATCCTCCATGATACAGGAGCACAACAAGTTACTTCATCGTTCCCTATTGATGAATGTTTAGATAGCTTACTTCTTCACCCTTCTCATAAATACTTGATAACTATGCATGCACATTTATTCTATGAAGTGGGCCCCAGAGTTCGGAAGAAGGGAGGGGGGTTCCCTATTGACTGAGGCCGTGTCTCTGAGAACTTTTAAGGAGATAGTCCTGATGGAATTATAAGGTCAAAGAATACAAACATGTTTAGAGCTCTTAATACATACTAACAAATTGCTTTCCAGAAGACTGTCCCAGTCTACACTTCACCAGCAAAGTACGAGAATGCCCACTTCACTATATTTTTGGCAGCACTGAGTATTAATTTTTAAAGTGAAATGATTTCTCAATGAATTACTAGTCAATTTGAACATTTTACTCCCAAGGCATTTTAACTCTTAATGCAAGATGCATAAAAATAAATTTCTGTAGAATATTTCCTGCTGAATTGGTATGGTGAATCCCCCTTTCAGCCAACTCAGAATACTTATAAGAAAAATGCTTCAATTATCATTCTAAATTTGAAGTTTCTGTTTCTCTGATTTAAAAAAGACACTATTTAATGTTAAATCATGGCTTAATACAAAATCTTAAGGACAGTTGGTCCTTTTAAAATCAAAAAGACAGGGGCCGGCTCCATGGCCCAGTGGTTAAGTTCGAGCGCTCCGCTGCGGGGGCCCAGGGTTCGGATCCTAGGCGCGGAGATGGCATCGCTTGTCAGGCCACATTGAGGCGGCGTCCCACATGCCACAACTAGAAGGACCTGCAACTGAGATATACAACTGTGTACGGGGGGGTTGGGGAGATAAAGCAGGAAAAAAAAAAGATTGGCAACAGTTGTTAGCCCAGGTGCCAATCCTTAAAAAAATAAATAAATAAATAAAGTCAAAAGGACTTCAATATATTAAGAAACATAGAAGTATATACTTGGAAATGCAAAAAAAATCACGATTCAGAATTTTGCCAGAAGGGTATTTATCCACTGGAAGGGATAATTTTAATATCAGGGGAAAGGCTTCTGAGAATATACAATTAAGGAAAATAATTTGCTTTTTGCATGTCCATGGCCAATGGTTGCCTGTTCCAATCAGACTTTTGCTCATTGATTTCTCCTACCTGTGTCCTGCGCTTTGAAGCTGCCACTTAACATTAGCAGGGAATTCACTTTTCTTTTTAACTCTTCTAGTTACAAACATCATCTCATTCACTCACAAATCTACTTCTGAAAGGGCTGAGGCTCCTTTTTAAGAAGTAGTTTAACATTCAAGATTATGTAAAGTTTCAAGCGACTCCTTCAGAATTTAAACACACACTAATGAAAGAGAGAGTTTAGATAAGAAGGCCACAGTCAACAGAAGCTAAGACAATTTTTGACCAAATTTACCCACTGGGATGCAGAAGTCCTGGCACAACCCTCTGCTTCAGTCCTCCTGGACCTGAGCAGTCATAAAATCTCCTAAAGACATACTATGTGTCTATTCTACGCTATTCTTTACATACATCATTTCTAAACCACACTACAATGCTGCCAATTAGGTATTATTATTCCCATTCTACAGATGAAGAAATAAAGCTCAGAGAGCTTAAAGCTGGGATTAGAACCTAGGTCTATCTCATTCTAGAATCTAGGCATGCTTTTATTTTCTATTTTTGATAAAATATAACATGCATAAAAAGACTGCATAGAAATATGTTACATAAAAAAATAAAATAAACACCATTGCACTCACTACCATTTCACTTATACCTTAGCAGCCCCCTCTACCTCTCCCTGTGGCATCTCCCTCACTTGCCAGGGAGCCACTCTCCTGAATTTTGTTACTAATTTGTTTTCTTTTCTTTATAATTTTACTTCATATGTCTGTATCCCTAAACCCTATGTTTTTAAGTTTTGCCAGTTTTATATTTTATCTGTATGGAAATCATGAGTAATGTCTGCCTTTCTCAGAGAAATTCCTTGGTCGTGGATTAGTCACAGACCTCTTACTGTATCTGTAGTTCTAGAGTTTTAAAACCAGAACAAGTAGAAGGCCTAGATTCATAGTTTGAAGGTAGGATTGCCAGATTTAGCAAATAAAAGTATAAGTAACATTTCAGCATTTATATCCCTCGCAGTATTTGGGACATATTTATACTTAAAAAGTATTTGTTCTTTATTTGAAATTCAAATTTAACTTGGGCATCTGCATTTTACCTGCCAACTCCGTTTAAAGGGGATTTATTACATCAGTGTTGACACCCGAACACCAAGTGCTGACAACCCTGGAGGGTAAGCAGCATTGTTCTACTGCCCCTCTACCCCCCATCTTGATGGTGGAAATTACACGGATTCTGAACTCAGAAGACGAGGGTCTTAACTTCCTTTCCATTGGTTCTTTTTTTTTTTTCCTTCTTCTTCTTCTCCCCAAAGCCCCCCACTACATAGTTGTATATTCTAGTTGAGTGCCTCTGGCTGTGCTGTGTGGGACACCACCTCACCATAGCTTGATGAGCGGTATCATATCAGCACCCAGGATCAGAACAGGTGAAACCCTGGGCCACTGAAGCAGAGCACACAAACTTAACCCCTCGGCCACGGGGCCGGCCCCTCCATCCACACTGGTTATGTGATCTTGGACAAGTCCCTTGAACTTCCTGAGCTTTGGTTTGCTCGTCTTCAAAACAGGTATCATGAGAGACTTCCTCGAGAGAGCTAAGTCCCCATCTATTATTAGAGAAATTCAATTGCTCACATCTCGACTTGATAAACCAAGAAACAATAGCATTAAGCACATTACTTAGATGTGTTGCAGGGGATCCCAGGAAATCCTGAAAACACTAACAGTTAGGAATTCCACACGGCTGCCTCTGAGTTGCAGACCCAGGGCTGGAGTGTTGGAAGGGGCAGAGCAGAGAATTGCTGCTTCTCATGATAAGCTCTCTAGTGGCATTTCATGTTTTTAACATCAACTTTACTTTAGGAAATTTTTAATTGTCAAAACAGAAGTTGAATGAAAAAACTGAAATTCAGTTTTAAAATGAGTATAATCATATTGCCTGCCTCATAGAGCTGAGGATAAAATGAGAACATGAGTCTAAGAATTCTAAGAAAATCTGAAAGTTGATACCATGCCTGTCTTTTTAGATAAAGGAGAGGAATGGTATCACCCTGCTGGCCCTGGAGAAATTGACTGATAGCAGGAGAATTTCCCCTGGCATTTTTTGATATGTCGTTCAACCTTGACGGGCTAGTGTCTGTTTAGTCTTTCTAGTTCAGTGCTCAGAAAAGTACAACGCTCCTGAAGGACTTTATAAATATTTCCTATGCCAATGATGAATTCAAGTTACAGAATTTAATCCCAAAGATGAAAACTCGCCCGGGACATCTGAGGCAGGGCAGTGTCTTAAAGAAGATAAGCTGCCCCTCCCAACTTTGTCTCTGAAATAAGGTTGACTTTCGTACCAGCTCAAGGGATGAACCAACTGCCAGGAGCCGTGGAGCTGGCGACAGGACCCATCAGGTGTTAGGCATCTTAAGCTGGCAGCAGCGCCTTCTGGGGACGCAAAGGGAGATGCAGTGAGGTGACCGGTCCTGTATCCTAGGAAACTGCGTTCTCAGGCTGAGGTCTGCCCTCTAGCGGCTGCAGATGCTAGTTACTCTTCGAAAATGGTTGTTCCCCTCTCACAGGAGCGAGAATTTGAGTTCCAAATAAGTAAAAAAGCAACTAGGGAGACAGAAATGAGAAACAGTTGAGATGTGGGTGAGAGATAGGGTTTCCATTTCTTTGAATGTCTCTCCTCTGATCCAGTGGTTCTCTAGAAATTAGAAGAATAAGGCTAACACACAGCGCAAAAATGCATTTAAGTTGAAAGACTGACTTTCATTCTGAGATTTTTGTTCTGCCAAATTTTGGGGGCTTTATGAAATGATGATGACAGTAAATGATCTTTTTTTTTTTTCATGTCCCATGTCATCACCCAAATGTTTTGGAAATTTTTACTCATTTGTATTTGTACTTCTAGGAACCACTGTTCCAACCCACCATGGCAGCCTTTCAAATTCATAATCACAGAATTATTTTCAGTTGGAATGGATGTCCAAGATCATCATGTCCCGGGGAAATAAGGTATTCTTCCCTCCATGTTACAGATTTGAGACCTAGGCGGGAGAAGCGGTCTGTCTGCTGTCATTCAGCACCTTGCACATAACAGGAATTCAGTAGGGAATGCTGGAAAGAACGAAGACCTTGGGGGATGGGACATGGCCTGGAACCCAGATTTTCTGCCACCTAATGCAATGTCCTTTTCACCATAGCAGGATCACAAGATTTCTGAAAGACATATGCAATCTGCTCAATTGAAAAACTGCTAGGTTTTCACACCAGGAAGGGGTTGGTCTAGAACCTGGAGTAGCAGGAGTCCAGCAGGGAGAATCCATGTTTGTCACGCTCAGGTAACCCTGGGGAAGTCTCTTTAGAGAGTATCAGACTGGAGGAGGGCAGGTCTGGGGCAGTTGTTAACTCCCTTAGTGGCTTTCCCTCCTGGCTGGCATGTGACTGGGAGCAGTGGCGGGTGGGGGGAGGGGTTGCGGAGGAATTACTGGGTGGGGGTGCGGTGGGAGGCTTTGTGTGCTGCAGGAAAAAAATGGGGAGAAAAAGGCCTATGAGAAAATGAGAATGTTCTACACCATGGAGGGAGGAAGGGGGCGGGGCTTAAAACTAGCTGTGAGGTCAAGCACATGTGGCTCCCAGAACAGCCAGGCGCTCCGAGCACAGGGAACTACCAGATAACTCTGCACTGCTAACAACTTTAGAAATCCAAGCAGTGTGTCAAAATGCCCTCCAAAAAGTCCTATAAATTGAAACTTCCATAAATTCTTTTCTACGGCTCCAGAAAAGCTGTTTTCAAAAATATATTTAATGATATTGATGAGGAGATAGAGAAATTGGAAGCCTCGTGCATTGCTGATAGGAATGTAAAATGATGCTGTCTCTATGGAAATCAATTTAGCGGTTTCTCAGAAAGTTAAACATAGTATTACTATATAATCCAGCAATTACACTCCTAGGTACATACCCAAAAGAACTGAAAAACAATGCTTATGCAGCATTATTCACAATAGCCAGATGGTAGAAATAACCCAAACGTCTATCAATGATAAATGGACAAACAAATTGTGGTATATCCACATAATGGAATATTACTCAGCCAAAAAAAAGGAATGAAGTACTGACACAAGCTACAGCATAGATGAACCTCAAAAACATTACGCTAAGTAAAAGAAGCCAGACACAAAAGGTCATATATTGTATGATTCCATTCACGTGAAATAGCCAGAATTAGAAAAATCCATAGAGACAGAAAGCAGATTAATGGTTGCTAGGGGCTGGGGACAGGAGAGAAAGTGAGGGAGACTACTTAATGGGTACAAGATTTCTTCTTAGGGTGATGAGAATGTTTCAGAACTAGATAGAGGTGATGGGTGCACAACACTGTGAATGTACTTAATGCCATTGAATTGTACACTTTTAAATGGTAAATTTTATGTTATGTGAATTTTACCTCAATAAAATAATAAAACAAATTTTTAAATGGTTTAAAATATATTTAATGATTAGCCACTTTAATAACTGGATACTAAAGAGATAATGAAAAGAATATTGCAATCTAAATAATTTTTACGTGTTCCTCTTGGAATAAAATAATCAAATTTTAGAGAGTTCTTTTTTTCTATTGGTTGTATTTAATCATTACCAATGTTTAACAATTTTACGATTACCCCTGCAATTCGCTTTCAGGACCTATGATTATCATTGTGCACATCACGAGGATGAATGTGAATGAAAGCATTTCTTGACTCCACGTGCTGTAGATGAATAGGTTAATAAAATTTACCTATTCCCCAGTAGTAGAGAGAAAAAAGTTAGAATTGGTCTTTAAAAGAAAATGATTGTTAAGGCCTTTGGAAATGAATGCATCCTTGTATTTCTTATTTCATTGATTCATAGATGCACATTTTTCTCACATTTTATTATTGCTGAAATTGAGGTGCCTCTTACAGCCACTGAGGCCAGGTGGCCATCATGATGTGGCTGTCATTGCCTAGACTTGTACATCAAAAAGTGCTAACTAGGTGTCAGATGCCTGGGGAAAAACATCCCAGAGGCAACAGTGGAGCACTCTTTTAAGAATATTCTTGGGGCCGGCCCAGTGGTGCAGCGGTTAAGTTCACACGTTCCGCTTCAGCAGCCCAGGGTTCACCAGTTCAGATCCCAGGTACAGACATGGCACCACTTGGCAAGCCATGCTGTGGTAGGCATCCCACATAGAAAGTAGAAGAAGACGGGCACGGATGTTAGCTCAGGGCCAGTCTTCCTCAGCAAAAAGAGGATGATTGGCAGCAGTTAGCTCAGGACTAATCTTCCTCAAAGAAAAAAAAAAAGAATATTCTTGAGAAAAAAAAATGGATCTTAATGACAACATCAAAAAATGACTCCAAAAAGTTAACTTCTGAATATGAAAAAGTTTTAGGATTGCTTAACCAATTCATCTCAATTCTATTTTCCTTTGCATATTGTACAAACATGATATAGGATAATATCTTTGCTAAATGAGTCTGGAATAGCAGGAAAGCTCTTTCAATGAGTGCAAAATAAAAATTCAAGTGGTAAAAAAGCATTTTGTCATAGCTTGACAGCATTTTTTTCCCTCTTCATAGAACATAAAATAATGGTGTGTCATACAGTCAGTGATGGCATAGACATAATCAAATGTAATTTTTTGTAAAAATATTACATATCTGCATTCATTTAGATTATGCATAGTTCCAAATATTAACACCTTCTTATTTAAATGTAAGCATATTTTAATTTAGTAGAATTTACCTCCTTGAATAAATATTTATTAAAAATCTGCAAAAAAGAGAACTATATTAGGTACAATGTGGGATATCACAATAAATAAGACAGCTCCTGTCCTAAAAGAATTTACAATCTAGTAGATAAGTGATGTTACTACTCTAGTGTGTTTCATTTTTTATTCATTCAAAAGATATTTACTGAGCAACTTCTATATATTAAGGCTGCTCCAGGGGCTGGAAATTCAACAGTAAACAAAACAAAATTCTCTACCCTCATGGAATTTACATTCTAAAAGGAAGACTTTCAATAAAAAGGATAAACAAGTAAATGCATATTATGATAGATGATGATAAGGGCTAAGCAAAAAAATAAAGACTGGAAGAGGACTATGAAATGTTGGGAGGAGGTTGAAATTTTAGATGAGTATCTAGAAAGCCCTCATGGAAAAAATCTTGAAGGGAGTAGGGAGCTAAGGATGAGAAGATCTGGCTAAAGAGGAGCATTCCAGGCAGAGGGCACAGCAAAGGTCCTGATGCAGGAATGTTTGAGGAATCAGAGAAGTAGGAGGGGCCAGATCTTATGGAGCCTGTAGGTCAGAGTAAGGCCTTTTGTTTTTCTTCTGAGTGAGGCGAGATGTTTGAGCAGAGAAGTGCCAGGACATAACTTTAATTTTAATGGGAACATTTTGACTGCTGTGTTGAGATGAGACTGCAAAGGGGAAGAGCAGAAGCAGGGAAGGCAGTCAGGAAGATGCTGAAATAACCCAGGGAGACGTGAGAGGTGGGGTGTCTTGGATCAGTGCAGTATGAGTGAGGATGTGAGAAGAAGTGAATTATGAATACATTTTGAAGGTGGCGTTCACAGCTTTTGTTGATGGGTTGGAGGTGAGTTGTGCGATGAAGAGAGGAGTCACAGAGGACGCCATGGTTTCTGGTCTGAGGAATTGGAATGGAATTGTCATTAACAAGATGAGGAAGAATCTAGGAGGTAATGTCAAGAACTCAATTTGGGACATGTTGAGTCTGAGATGCTAAGTATGAGAGTCAATTCCAGCAGGTCTGGAACGGCCTGAACTCTTGGTGAAATGAGAAACACACCTGCACGGCACTGACCCCCACTGAAGATGTGATACACACTGATTGCTTTGTAACCATGGGTCCGTGGCGTTTCTGGGCAGTTTGCACCAGCTTGGCAGCATTGTTTATTGATGGTAACGAGGTTGATGATTTGCATCTAGTCTCAGTGAGTCCCAGAAGGCTCTGCCATTGGGCCTGGTTACATAGGAGCAATATGCCTATGTGTGAGGCCTAAGGGGTGTGAGAAACTCTAGACAAGACTCCATTTGGGGCCCCCTGGTTGTAAGGCATTCCATGCACACATCACTGTTCTTGATCCAAGAAAGTGTGTTTAGCACAGCCCCTACAAAGGGAGCCTACGCCTGGCCTCTCTGGACCCCTAGCTGTGAGGCAGCTTTTGGCTTCGATGCATGCCCCTAGTTTAACACTGTTGCTACACTGTATCCTTTTCCTGCAGTAAATGGTGGATTTATAAGCATTGTCATTCTGGGTCCTATGAGTCTTTTTTAGTAATTGAAATCTGTGCAACTGCCACCATTAATACAGATGCTTGTTAGACATTTTGGTAGGTTGACTACAAAAGTGCACTTTAAAGCTCCTCCATCAGAGGTGAAGTCTTTTTCTCCACCTTTGGAATTGGCCTCATGACTGTCTTTTGCCAATAGGATGTGGAGATAGTAACAATGTACCATTCTGGGCATAAGCCTCAAAAGGCCCCGTGTACCTCCTGTTTCTCCCTCTCCCTTGCTTCTCTGTCTTTGCCATGTGAACATGCCTGGGCCAGCTTGC